TTTCGAGAATCCTTAAAGAATATTATTTGTTTTGTGCCACAGATGTGTGTGGTTTTTGTTTGTTTGTTTGTTTTCTTGAGACAGAGTCTTGCTCTGTCACCCAAGCTGGAGTGCAGTGGCATGATCTCGGCTCACTACAACCTCTGCCTCCTAGGTTCAAGTGGTTCTCCAGCCTCAGCCTCCTGAGTAGTTGGGATTGCAGGCTTGTATCACCACACCTGATTAATTTTTTTGTATTTTTAGTAGAGATGGGGTTCCACCTGTCAGCCAGGCTGGTCTCAAACTCCTGACCTCAAGTGGTCTGCCCGTCTCAGGTTTCCAAAATGCTGGGATTTCAGATGTGAGCCACCACACCCAGCCACAGATGTGTTTTAAAGGTCTATGAAATGAACATTCTCAAACATTCTGGTCTTAGAACTTGCTACAATTTGGACATTTGTCCCCAGAGAGTTCGAGATCAGCCTGGCCAACATGGTGAAACCCCGTCTCTACTAAAAATACAAAAAATTAGCCAGGTGTGGTGACACATACCTATAATCCCAGCTACTCAGGAGGCTGAGGCATGAGAATCGCTTGAACCTGGGAGGTGGGGCCCAATGGAAGGTGTTTGGGTCATAGGGGTGAATCCCTCATGAATGGCTTCGTGCAGTGAGTTCTTGCTCTGAGTTCTCTGCAGTGAGTTTACTTGGTGCAGTGAGTTCTCACTCTGATTGTAAAAAAGAGCGCCTCCCCACCACCATCTTCACCCCCACAACCTGCCCCGTGCTTCCTCACTGTCCACATGATCTTTGCACACACTGGCTCTCCTTCACCTTCCACCATGGAAGCAGCCTGAGGCTATCTCCAAATACCACATTTTCCAGCCAACAGAACTATAAGCTAAATAAACCTCTTTTAAATTACCCAGCCTCAGGTATTTCCTTATAGCAACTCTAAATGGATGAAGACAGAACTCCTTCACATTCTTAAAAATCATTAAGGATGGAGGGATAGGAATCACGAAGTAGCGTAAGAATCTGCCAGGGGTAATGAATAGGCTCATTATCTTGATTGTGGTAATGGATGGTATAATAGTTAAATTATATGTGTCAACTTGGCTAGAACGTTGTGCTGACTGTTTTGGTCAAACGCTAGTCTAGATGTTGCTGCAAAGGTATTTTGTAAATGTGATTAGCATATATGAACAGTTGACTTTATAAGTAAAGGAAGATTGCCCTCAATGACATAGGTGAGCCTCATCCAATCAGCTGAAGAATTCACAAGTAAAAACTAGATTTCCTAGAGAAGGAATTCTGCTTCAAGAATGTAACACAGCTTCCTGAGAAATTCTGCCAGCCTGACCTATGGATCTCAAACTCAAGACTACAACATCAACTCTTGTCTGAGTTTTGCCAGCCCCCACCATGGCATGAGCCAATTTTTAAAAATAACCTCTTTATGTATGCATACACACAGACACACACCCCCTATTGATTCTGTTTCTCCGGAGAACCCTGACTGCTGGTAAAGATGAATTCACAAATGTATTCATATGCAAAAATTAGTACTGAGGAATTTTAAAAATATTTAATATTTAATGTTAATTTTTATCAATATATATTAATGTCTATATTTTTAAGAGCTATATTTTCCAAAATAAGAAATATTAGTAAGAGTAAAAGTGTCTAATATTTTTACAAATCTCTTTAATATCTGGCTTAAAGGAAAACAGCCGAACTCATCTGCTTCTACATTCAATATGTTATGATATACTGTTTCAGAAGTATATGAAGAATATCTGACCTCAATCTGATTTTTTGATAACACACCAAAACTTGACAAGTGGTGGTTTCTTATACAGTTATAATGTAGAATCTGGAAACATATCAACAAACTGTCAGATACTATTTTATTAAAATACACTGATACATCTTGATTTTCAAAAGGATCTTTTAGCTATGTGTTATTTTGTCATATCACATACTGGTCTTCAGAAAATATTCAGGCTGGGTATGGTGGCTCATGCCTATAATCCCAGCATTTTGGGACACCTGAGCAAGAGGACAGCTTGAAGCCAGCAGTTCGAGACCACCCTGGGAAACAGATCGAGAGCTGTCTCTACAAAAAATAAAAATGAGGCTGGGGGGGTGCAATGTCTCACACCTGTAATTCCAGCACTTTGGAAGGCCAAGGCAGGAGGATGGCTTGAGCTCAGGAATTTGAAATCAGCCTGGGCAACATGGTGAAACCCCATATCTACAAAAAATACAAAACCTAGCCAGGCATGGTGACCTGTGCCTGAAGACCCAGCTACTCTGGAAGCTGAGGTGGAAGAATCACTTGAACCCCAGAGGCAGAGGCTGCAGTGAGCCAAAATCACACAACTGCACTCCAGCCTGGGTGACAGAGTGAGGCCCTGTCTCAAAAAATTAAAAATAAAAATAGATTAGCCTAGCATGGTGGTACATGCCTATAGTATCAGCTACTTGATAGAGTGAGGTAGGAGGACTGCTTGAGCCTGGGAAATCAAGGCTGCAGTGAGCTAGGATCATGCCACTGCACTCCGGCCTGGGTGATAGAGCAAGACTCTGCTAAAAGAAAAAAAAAAAAAGGAGAAGGAAACGAAAATATTGATCCACAGTTATGCAGACCTTCCAAATACTGACATATTTCATCATATAATATCAAAGCAATCATACTGAACCAGGCGCAGTGGCTCACACCTGTAATCCTAGCACTTTGGGAGGCCCAGGTGGGCGGATTGCCTGAGCTCAGGAGTCTGGGACCAAGCTGGGCAACACAGTGAAACTCCGTCTCTACTAAAATACAAAAAATTAGCCAGGCATGGTAGCGGGCGCCTGTAGTCCAAGCTACTTGGGAGGCTAAGGCAGGAGAATTGCTTGAACCCGGGAGGCAGAGGTTACAGTGAATCGAGATCACACCACTGCACTCCAGCCTGGGTGACAGAGCAAGACTGTCTC